GACCTGAGATGACATGATGTGAATTGGAGCTATAGAAATAAACTGAACTGAACGTAAACTACGGTAGTGGATCTGTGATGCTGTGGGTCTGATTTTATTGGAACTCAAATTCTACCAAACAAAACAAAAAGTTCCTTAAAAAGGCAATATTAAATTAATTTGGGACTAAACGAAGGGACTCTATGACGAAGAAAAGCCTTAATGTGGGCGGGGCTTTATATTCAACGCTGCAAAAAGTGTGACCTGCTTATTTCCCATCATGGTCATGATTTTATAGAGCTTCTGTGGTTTAAAATCATCCTAATAAATCATTGAAACCTGCTGGATACTGTAGGCCTTATAAGCATAGAGTAACACTTCCACTTACTTCAAATGTAGGTTCATCATAAGCCAAGATGTTCTTTGTATATTTAATGAGGTAAATCTATACCTAGATAACAGAATCTATATGGAATAGATCCCACTAATACTGCTGTAATGATCTAAATGTTCCATGATTCCAGAAATGCTTCACCACCGTTTCCTCTAATATAACCACATGTCTGAATATCTCTATACTCACTTCTGAGCCAACGTGACCAGGAACTTCACACACTGGTAGCAGCGCCTGCTGTCCACGTTGTTGCTCTGGTGCATCAAAGCTGGGAGATAACAGCAGCGTGTTCATTTAGGAACGAGCTCTGACAATTTCCTTCTGAATGCTAAAGCAGCAGCTGTGGTCACACCTACCTAACAAACCCTTGTCTGACTCAAAAGCATACTTGAGTCTCTGGGACTGCAGGGGGTCTTCAACAACCTGCAGCGAAGGATTCATTTGGGGTTAAAGCGAGCGGGCGCTGAACAGTGATAGGACAGATGAAGCGATGCTTACCAGGATCTCCTGCAGCATCTGGAAAACGTTCTTCAGCTCATGAGGTGGAGCCGTTTCCAGCTGACTCTGTAAGAGACGGATTGGTTTGTTTACAGCGTTGTTCACTGAATCGGTGAGAGCTGTTTGCTCCTCTTTAAGCCTGTGCACCTTCAGCAGCTGCAGCACGCCCAGGGAAAAGCCCTCATTGCAGTATGAGCAGTAGGTGACCATTTCGATCAGGAGAGACAGAGGTCCAGACAGCTCACGCATTGCAAACATCACCTGGAAAGTAACGCAATCAAAGAGCAGGAGACGAGTGGAAAAGCATCTAGCATAGCATTATTTCAAGGGGATTGATCAACGTTAAATTCCAGAGAAATTCACCTCAAGGAGGTAAGGCTGCCCCTCTGGAGTGAAGAGCGACGCCAGGATGTCCGGGTGGAGCGAAAGGAGAGGGCCGGAGGACTGAACTGCGTTCACAGGCAGCTTGGACCCTCCTGGAGCTACGGACGGCAGAGGGCATTAAGCTAAAGAGCTGAAGTGTGAGGAAAGAGAGATTTAAACCTAGATGAGGCTCACCGAGGGTCCGCTGGGGGGTGAGGTCAGAGTGCAGCGTCATGAGCGCCAGCGTGCTATGGAGGTGGAGGAACTCCCGGGCCTGAGCTGGACTCCACCGGCGGTTCTGGAAAAATGTGGAAACACTCAACTTTAGCATGAATGAAAAAATCAACTATGATCCAGCTTTTAAGGTGGAATTCCTCATTTTTATTTATTCTAATTAACCAAAGATGGTTATATAT